TCCAACAAGTGCACCTAAGGACATGAAAACTGAGCCCAGCTGTTTGTACTGAATTTTAGCCCTACACCCGACAGTAAGTGCTGCTATTTCTACGTTCTCACAGACAGAAAACAACTGACCTGGGAACAGCTATATTACTGACATACAGAGACTAAGAAACTGTGGTTAATCAAAACAAAGTGCAAGTGTAATGGCACTGAGCGTAACATTGTATAAATTGCACTGATCTGCCTTCCCTGGTCACCTGTCTCCTGCCAAACTTGACCAGAGCAACTTCAGCCGATGATTCTGGGCATTAAACTCAGAACTTAGACAGTTTAGACAGTTTTAATGCTGAACAAAACTGAGTAAAAGAACAATCAGTGGTCATTTAAGGTTTTGAGTTTTTATGTTTAAGTTCCCCATGAGCAGCACCGCACTTTATTTCTTCCATTACTGAGCATTAGTTTGCCAGGCTCAAGTCATGCATAACATTAGGCCCCTTTTCCTGTGGGCCACTGCTTGTTCTACTTCCAACATATCACACTGACAGACACATACCATTGAAGCAGCCTGAGACATCACTTATTAAGTTACATTTGAAAATAACCAAAACAGGCCTGAGGCTATATGAAAAGAGACGGGCCAAACTCGACCTAAAACCTGATAATTTGTCAGTTTAGGTTGGGTAACAGAATGACAAAGTGTAAATTCCTATTGTGGGGGGAAAAAAATGTCTGTACATGCAGCATTATCTTCATATGTATCTTCCTTAAACGATAGTACATTTAGAGTTGACTATTAAGAAATTAACTCATATCAGCTATACAATTTGCGAATGCGTTGCAACTGTCATCGAATCCATGTGTAGCTCATCAACAATTATCAGTTACTGTATTTGTAACGGCTTGGATGACACACAGCTTCCTACACTGTGCCATTTTGGCCGCCAATGTCCCCTGCTACAAAACCAGTTTCCTCTAGTGTCCTATAGTGGTCTTGTGGTTAGTGAATAGCGTATTTCTGTGGTGAGTGACAGTATATTACTCCTATTACTCTTACCATCCCAGAAGGTCTGTGGGGGCCTCTGCTAGTTATGTAATGACTCCTTTAGGTTTCGTCTAATTGATACCAGTGCGTCGCAGGGTATAAATCAACCAGGCAGTGGTCAGATAACGGCTGCCAGGGAGAAACCGACATGGTAAATCAGTCTCCCATCCTATCTAATCTTACCCGGGTGTTTGCCAGAGATGTATTTCACTTTAGGAAGATTTCCATCCACCCTTTTTCCCCCACCACCCACTTGGTTGTTCAGGGGTCATAGGTTTTACGCTAGCTTTCAGTCGATATGTGTACTGGATTCACTGAAAGTCTGCTATGACAGCATGAGATATGCAGGTGTAAGTTGCTCTGTGCAGATCCGTGAGTGTGATTGTGATCAAAGTTCATTCTCAAAAAAGTTGCTCATTATTTTGACATAGTTCCATTATTGTAACTTAAGCACTCAATCAAGGACCAAATCCCGGGTGTGTTAGTGTGTACAGGATTTTTCTATATTTTTTAGTTAATTAATGAATCTATACAGATTTGTGTTTGTTTCTCACAAAGATCTTCTAAATATGACTATATCAGTAATAAGCATAAAAATGCACTGAAGTCAAGGACATCAGAGAAAACAGCTATTGTACTTCTGAGGTATTGCTCTCCATCTGAATTTACTAGCAGTCGCCATACATATATAGAACACAGCTGTGTCTACGATTAAATAGTGCTAAATGGTGGTATTAAATGCTCTGATTAAATAAGTAACCAAATGTCTTATGAAATGTGAAATTTGTTTAGGACATTTAGGACATTTGCTTTTTCTAAGGCATGTGTGTACATGTATATCTATGTCTTGGAAGGTGTTAGGTGATGATTTGATGACAACTGTCTGTCTACTGGATTCCAATATTTATCATCTCTCTTACCATAAACCTGCTGCTGTTCCTTTATTGTACATTAGTACTTTGATGCTCTAATTCTTCTCTCTCATTCATTACTATTTTATGCTTACATTTATTTATTTTTTTGATGAATCCGTCTGCGCTTTCTGCATTTGGATGTATTATCTGTGATTGTGTTGCATATACATTGTGTGGTCAGACACATTGACAAATTTAGCACCTGCCTCATCTTCCAGTATTTTCTTAGCTCAACCCTTTTTTCTTCTTCTTCTTCTTTTTTTTTTTTTTTAAGCATTCCTTCCGCTCCTCCCTGCTTATGGCAGGACTTCACAGTTCAGCAGTGTAATGTGTTTGGGCTGTCTGCTGACACATCCCTGGAGACAAACCTACATTGCGGTAATATAGTCATGCAGGCAAATGCATCTATGGAGAGGAGCATGGAGAAATGTACCTCTGACTATTATTCAGCTTGGAAGAAAGAATGGAGTTAAGGATGAAGAAAGAAAGGGATTCCCCCTTATTAAAACCACTCCCAATTAAGTTGATTACTGACAGTGCTGGCTGCTGCTGCTGGCTGTAACACCAGGATGCTGCGGTCAACTGGGCTGTAAATGACGCATGGTGAGACAGGAGAAAATGCTTTGATACACATTGTGTGTGCGTGTGTGTGTGTTCGTAAAAGTATATGTGGGAGTATTTGTTTCCACTTGTTCACCTGGGTGTGCAGAGTTGTGATTCTGAATTTACATCTATATGCATGCAGACATTTGGCTGTGCTTTTCTGTATTTGCTGATGTGTATCTGCACTTAACCTAAGGGTGCTTTTGTACTTGTTTGAGAAAGATTCTCAATTTTACAAGCAAGTTTGGGAGTTCTTTAGTGCTGTCTAATAAATCGTAGCTGTGAAAATAAACCCAATGTCCACAGTTCAGTAAGTAATTTCTAACGGCTCTGTCTGCGCTACAACACCAGAAGATATTAGCAGGTAAACTGCCAACTTGTATCAACAGTGCCTTTCCTAAGAGAAATGAGTCATCCTAGTATAAAATTTCCCCCGGATTGTTTTATGCAAGAGAGCCCTCTTTCATTGGAACCCCTCCCCCTGTTGTGTTATTGCACTCTATTGTAGAATACGTTGTTCCTTAGTCAGCTTACCAAACCCGGAAAGTTTTGAGTACTCTTGTGTGTCATATCTTCATCATATCATAGCTCACTTTCTCTCTCACACCCTCTGGTCTTGTCTCTCACACTCTCTCCCCGCATCCATGTCTATATCAATTCTTCTCCTCATTTATCACTTCCTCCCCCAATTCCTTCATGTGTCTTTCCATTTCTCCCTCAAACCCCATTTATTCTACTTTACCCGAAGTGAACCCCAACCCCAATGTAATGAGTCTTTCCCCAAAGCACTGAGATATAAATAAGGCAAGCTTTTTTGTGAGTGTAAAATTAAGTGCATCCTACTGGCCCATACTACGGATTTGTCTGATTTGTCCGAACGAAACTGGGTTGTCAAGTATGCATACTACTCCACCCACAGCAATAAAAATGATCATAACTGTTGTATTCTGCATAGGTCTACTGATGTCATAGGTCATAGAGTGTGATTAGTGGAGGTTAATGCTCAGTTTTCAAAGAGTTCCTCTCGTGGTGTTTTGCAGTGCTTATTATAGCTTCAAGCTGAATTGCTGTTAGATAATTGCTATATTAAAATATCATTTAAATGTTGCTTTATATTCTGTACACCTGTTAAAAGATTAAACGTCACACATTTAAATAATTAGCACTGTAATTGTAGTTACTAATTTTACTTACAACCAGTCACTGAATCAGGTGTGCTGCTGCTTTCCTTTACTTTCCCAGACTTACAGCCAAGCCGAATAGTGTGAGAATGTCTTGAGTTAAAAGGCACATTTGAAGAACCGCTTCTCAGGGCGTTATTAGTCATCTCGCGTTGAGGTTTCCAAATGGGCTGCTGCTGCTGCAGCTTTAACTGACCAGATCAGCCCTCCCATGTCAACAGCTAGTAGAAGGGGTTTCAGTGTGCTGAGTTATGGGACCGAAAGGACAACTTCAGAACAGCCTGTGACCACAGTGACACATCTCTGTTTTAATGGAAAGGACAGGGAATGTTTTAAGCTTTCCTTATTAAGTTGGGGGTTTTGCTACTTTTGGTTCTTTTAGAAATGAGTGGGTGTTTGGCTGCTCTCTGGATCACATCAGGGTTTTTTCATTGTCATCATGTCTGTGAGACCTTTTAGTTTACCAATTCAAAGAGACACTGACTTTGAAATTGCACCTCCTATAGGTTCACATTAGAGTAACTGTGGTGCCAAAAATAGTAAGACACCCTGGAGTCACACCTGTTCACCTTAAAACTGATTGTTGTATGTTACCTTTACCAAATGTAGTTAAATTTATACTCAGGCTAATAAAAACCTTGCTAAATACCATTCCTCTTAAAGTTGGGGAACAATTTAATTTTTTATTGGTCATCAACTCATCAGTTGGGAAACATAAAGGCAAAGTTGTTGACATAGGAAAACAAATACTGCTGCTTTTCCAGAAAACCAAGCATTTACGCTAATAATATCAGATGAGTACAATAGTCTGGAGGCCAGTGATGTGGTTGATGTAACTGCACTGTATGTTTTGCTGCTATGCTATCACAGACTCAGACTGCTGTAATTAAACTGTGTAAAAACACATTCGTTCAAATGAAGTTTGAGGTTGAATTGTTTATGTGTTTTAATATCATCTGGCCCAGTTGCAAATATATCAATGAACTGTGTTAGTTTTTATACATAATTAGAGGTATCAATATTTCACTTTGAAACTAAAACTGATTCTGAAGATTTTTTCTCATCTATCTGAACCCTCTTTTTTTTTTTTTTTTTTTTTTTTTCCCTCAAGGCACAATTAGCTAGCGGCTGCCTCTACTTTATCTACAAACTACAAGACATTTTTCCTCATCATAGTCCCAATGTTATTTCTTTTAATGTGTATCTTTTACATTCTGTTTTTCCTCTGCAGTGTTGTACATGCAATTTATTGCTACTCCTTCTGTGCTTGTAGATACAGTTCAGGCTGCCTCTGTGCTGCTGGAGTTTAAAGATGTGTTCGTGAGAACAGGACTGAAGGATCGGAGTCGCGTTCTTCTGGGACCGTTCACCTGCAGCAGCTCGCTGGAGGCTCGGTGGTGTCGGCACAGCGGCAGCCCTGGACCTGAGCCTGGCCCCCCTAAACTACTGCTGGACCTCAAGGGAGGCCTGCTGCAGGTTCGTACACCACTACTCTGCTTCCTTAAGCATAAGATTTATCACCCAGTGCAACTACAGTTTTTAGAGTTCAGGGTCAGATCAGCACCTTTGCACCTGGTTGGAAGTGAGTGTCTGACTCAAGGACACTTAGTAAATACATAAGCGAGATTCTTCTGGCTAAAGAGAAGCCTTAATCATGAGGCAATGCTATTGTCCTAAAACGTCATCTTAAGTGTCCTTGGTGTCCAAATCAAGCCTCACAGTATTCATAAGCTGACACCCTCAGGCATAGCTCATCACACTCTTAACACTCTTAAATCTGCTGTTCTTCTTTAATTCTGCCACAGCTTCTGTCCTTGCAGTGAGGTGATGACAGTAGGAACTGCATGCTGTAATTCCACTGTAGATTTGAGTCACATCTGTTGCTGAAGTGGTGGAACATTATTAGGCTGTTTTTGGGGGGGTTGTATCTTATGTGTGTCTTTTTTCCTGTGAGAAGTTACATAATGTCCACACTGAAAAGTCCCTTTTCAATGTGACTGAGCACATTATTACTATTATTCCATATTACTTCTCCGGGGGAACCCCCTCCCCCATCTTCAATGGCTCCCTTAATGCTTTTATTGCGTGCCCATTAACAGAAACATCACTTGCAACTCAACACTTAATACGTAATCATACATTTCCCTCTGCAAATATTGGCGTTTGTGGTGTTTTAATCAAGTGCTGTACAAAAACCACCGGAATTCCTTCCGATTCCTTCTTCTCGTGCTCACTTTCCAAAAACTTGGGAAAAAAATCCCCAAAATTTTCCTGTTTTTAGAGTTTAGTCATAACCCACCCTTGCAAGCTAGTGAGTAGCAGGCAGGCAGGCAGGCAGCTCCATGTGTGAAGAGTTTTTGACTCAGAGATTCCTGGTCCTTAGTCCAAACCCCAGGCAGACTCGCTTTGATGGAGCACGGGAAGGGGAATGCCGTGGGTAAGTGAGGAGGATGTAAGGTTGTGTTGGGTAATGTTAGTAAGGTTGTGAACGGGTGATGACAAGGGTAACCCTGACTGCTTCTCTTCCTGTTTTGGAAAAGCCAGTAACATAGTCAATTATTATTTATGCAACATTCATAAATCTGTGTCATTGTGTAACTTTCTTTTTCTTTTCCCTGTTTTTGTACTTTCTTTCTTTACTTCCTTTATATGTGTCTTGTTGTTTAAACCATTACATACCACACTCTTTGGTTGCCACTCTGTTCACCACTATCTTGCCTCTTTCTCTGTCCCAACAGGTCTTTTGGGGCCAGGAACACCTAAACTGCCTGAAACTGGTGGAGGAGCACCTCCGCACCTACCTGCATCTCCAGAAAGGGGATTTGACTGATGGCTGTTTGAAGGGCAAGGCCAACCCCACCCCGCCACCTCCCTCCCCAGGCTCTCCCTCTCCTCGGACAGAGCACAGCTCAGATGACTTACGCACAGGACATTTTCAGTACATCCAGGACTCAGGTGAATGTTTATAAAGTGCATGTTGACCTAATGTTGAGATGGCATGTACCTTATTGCGCAGCTATACCAGGTGGCTTCAATATAAGTAAAGTTTTGGTTAGAATAATCAAAATCCAATTTTTAAGTGACGTGGTTTAGGGGCTGCACAGTGGCTCCGTAGTTAGCACCGTCGCCTCACAGCTAGAAGATCCCTGGTTCGCGTCCTGGCCTGGGATCTGTCTGTATGGGTTCTCTCCGGGTTCCCACAGTCCAAAAACATGCTGAGATTAACTGGCATTTCTAAATTGTCCGTAGGTGTGAATGTGTGTGCTTGGTTGTCTGTCTCTAAGTGTAGCCCTGTGATAGACTGGTGACCTGTCCAGGGTGTCCCCTGCCTTCACCTTGAGTCAGCTGGGATAGACTCCATCCCCCCGCGACCCTTGAGAGGATTAAGTGATGTATAGATAATTGATGGATGGATAGTAGTTTAGTGGAACTTTTTTTATTTTTTTTTCCAGTGGGTGAGCTGCATTATTCATGACTCAGAGTAAATTAATAATACCTGGACATAGATTTTTCTACTTATTTCTTGACAAGGTTCAATCCATAAAATGAACAGTAACCATAGTCATAAATTCATATAACTGAGTTGGACAAACTCAAAAAAGATCCTTTGTGGCAAAGTGAGATGTCACTTAAGATACACATCAGCTTAAATCAAAGTCAGATCAAAGCCCTCTGTGAAAAGAAGTTTCATCGGACATGTCTGCCTGTTTCCACTCTTAGTAACATGGTGTTTATTCCCCCTCTTTGTGCTTTGTGTGTGCTGTCCTTTGTGTGCACACACTCAGACACACAGCAACATTATACACAGAGGATCAAACTTCTCTCTGGCTGTAGACCAGCCGTCCACTCTGTCAGCTGTGGTTGAGTCTTTGTTTGTTGCACTGTTCCACTGGTCTTTGATGCATTTAATATTCTGGCTGAAGCAAGAGAACGTACAGTAGTGAACTATAACCAAGAAGACAATCTGTCTGCAACATGTTGTCAGCAGCCAGAGAAAACCGGGCCCCAGAGTACAGAGAAGAGTGAGTGGCCCCCCCAAGGCCTGACACAGGGATGGATGGGATAGATGGACAGAAGAGTAAATGAAAGATGGTGGGAGAGAAGGCTGGAATGAGTCTCTGTCTCACTTTCTCTAAGTTCAAGCAAACACAAATGAAAGCAAAACCTCATGAAAGTGTCTGTTTTTTCTTTCTTTCATCCATTTTTTAAATTTTTTTTTTTTGCCAAAGAACAATATGCTGTCCACCTTCAAGGGTGCAGCTCCTTGTTTGATATAAAGGCAAAAATTAGCCACAGACAGATTTCACTGCCACTAGAAATGGGTTTTCTGAAAAAGAAAAAAAAATCTCCCAGTGTTTAAGTCCCTAGAGGCCAAACAAAGCAGCAGTTCTCTGCTTGACTGTTTTTTTCAAATAAACATTTTTCCAAAGGACTTGAATCCCAAACAGCAGCCCACGACACAAGTCAAACACCACTCACAAGTTTAGATCCAGTGTTATTCAGCGTTTGCAGGTGCCTGGCATGGTTCAATCAATGGCTGTTTACTCAATAGCAAAAATGTTTACTCAGCCACTTTGTTTATACGCAGCTTCTTACGCATATAAACATTCAGAAAGTGTGGAAATATCCACAGTGCTTTTTTAGGCAATATTGTTTTGGAGGGTTCAGATTCCATAGTACAAATAACCATAAAAACATTGCTTCACCAAAGATCTATGCAAGGTAACGTTAGCTCTTCCACAACAAAAGGTGAATTTCATAATGTCAGAAGAATACATTCGATTTTTCATCACATTTTTCCAGCCTTTGTGTTTCTTTCGTCTACTAACATCTGAACATTTTCAAGGAGGCTTTAAACTGGATTTTTGTTGTGAAATTGTATGTTTCCATGACTGCAGAAGAGTGCAGGTAACTCATAACTTGCTGTATCCAACCAAAAACAAGTGCTACTTTTGCTCTTTGTTTGCTATGTGTTGCACTTGGATAATTGACAGATTACTTCTGTTATTGTTCTGATATTGTGGGGTTTTTTTCTTGCAGCTTCACATAGACTGCCAGGACCCCATGAGGTGGTGTTTTACACAGAGACGGAGGACAGCCCAGGGGTCATGCTTTGGCGATACCCTGAACCCCGTGTCCTCACCTTTGTCAGGATAACACCTGTCCCTTTCAACACCACAGAAGACCCTGAGATCAGCACTGCCGACCTGGGAGATGTCCTGCAGGTAGACATGGACGCTCATATCATCAAATCACATAGCGAGTGAAAACAAACTTCCAGGTCCTCTCTCTTATCTTTATACAGCTCTGTGTTCACCTTTACTCTGACAACCTTAAAAGCAAAGAGTGCTGATGTACTAGGCAGCTACATTTCAGTTCATTGCATCAGTGGATTGGGATGTATAGTTGTCTGCTACTAGGAAAAAGGTACAAGAGTCGTAAGATGAGAAGAGAATCCACATGTCCCTCTCACCGCTCCCTGCTTAACATCACCTGCACTGGAACAGAAGAAAACAGTCTTAGAACTGGGCTGTGTGCCATTGTGATTCTCTTAACATGAGTCATGAGAACTCCCATACCCTACATGTTATTGAATGACAGAGACCCCTGCTGTCCCTCCAAACATGTAATACATGGACAGGCAGCTGTGGAAGTCATCTTGCATGCTCTGGTGTGAATAGCCAGGTGTCTCCAGCCCCAGATGAGGTTATATTTTGGCAGGCTGTAGCAGCTACTGAGCCTTTAGGGCCTCAGTGGGGGACAGGACATCCCACTTTTCCTCCTATCACTCATCCTCTGCCTTTCTATCCTCCGCCTCGCCGTGCAGCTTATCATCTTTGAAGGAGAACTGGGTCCCAAGTCAGGTTCTTTTGCACCCTCCTCCACATGCTTTCCTTTTTCTCATGGCCGAATTATGCTATTTTTAGGTAAAACTGCCTGACGCTATCATAGCAACAGTTGCTTTGAGTCACATTTTTGACCACGCATTTAGCAATGGAATCTGTAGAAAATGCAAAACATGTTTTTGTCATCCTGTCTGCTAAGCTAAGCGCAGTCAAGCCAACTATGTTTACCCTGATATAATTACAATTTCCATTGTTTTTGTTTGTTTAAATTCACTTATGAGAAGCAGCTGCAGAGTAACTGATAATTTTTCTACATCAAAATGATGCAAGAATGGGTCAAAAGTAATATAAGCAGCTAATGGTGAATAAACATTACATGAATGCAATATGACTCAAGTATTACTCTATGAGGATTATGAGAACGTAAATCCCAACAGAAAATCCCAACTGTAGAACAGGACTAATTGCATGGGAATTATTATGTATTTATCATGAATTGTTGTTATTAACATTAGTATTCAGCACAAAATGTGCCATAATGTCACATTATTACATTATCCTAAAATTCATAATAGTAACTTGTATTACATTTTCAGTCCATTTATAAGGACCTTTAAATTACATATTTAAACCCAAGGGTTAGGTTACCTTTCCTCGTCCTTATCCTTCTGATTCTTTCCTCCATCTGCTACAGAGGCTTCTCATCTCCCCATCTGCTTCCTTTATCTCTCAGATTCCTTCCTGGACTCCCACAATCATTTCACCTACAGTACAGATGTTTTCTTCAGTCTGTTTATGTATGCTGGCCCAGGAGAGGCAAGATATTGGAAGATGCTGCAGATGTCTGACTTCCCAGCGAGGCCCCACAGCTGTAAAGTCTGTAATGAGCAAAACTCCAAAGCCTCTCACTGATTGGCCACATATTGAGTTACAGTAGAGAAAAGAGGGAGCTGATATGTGTAGAGGAGGGAGGCTTAAGGAAAGATGCGGTGATAGACAGAGTTTGGATAAGGAGAGGGTGGTTAATGGGAGCAGAGCAGCAGGAAGGAAGAGTGGGAAGAGAGAGATAGAGTGAGAGGGGGGCCAAGAAGTATGGAGATAGATAGTCACAGAGGGAGGTGGTGTCTTCCGCAATGCTTACAAAGCTTACAGAAGCCTCTGTGTAAGAGGAGCTTTGTGAAGATACACTTTTTCTAGTCCAAGGGTGAGAAAGGTCATTATTCACCAGTAGAGGCAGATGAAACCACACCGTATGCCCTTTCTGGCAGGACATATGGTTTAACAAGCTAGCAGGGTCTTCACACACAAGTGAACAGATATTTCATCACACACAAAAAACAAAAAAAACCCAAAAACATTTGAAGACGAGTCACATTCGCCCGATTAACATGTATTCACAGTCTGTCATAAGCTGCTTAGACAGTGGTGTATCAAATATCAGTAAGGACAGAGTTGGGCACATGCATTTATGTCTCCAGATATACTTATATCTGTGTTTGTACATAAATGCTTTTGCCTGTGATTATAGACATACGTTTCAACATGTGTGTATTACACAGCAGGAATTGTGGAACCAGTGGAAGATGAACATGTGGTTTCCACATCTTCTGTTTTTCCCCCTGTCATGTGGCCTGGTTCTACCTCTTCTGACAGGTCTGTTAAAAGGAATCAGGTAATGAGACTGCCACTGGGATAGCAGTGAAAAAAGTAGGCTCGGAGCACACAACTATTACGGAAACCACTTTGTGTGGGGATTAGACACAGTATCTGTAGAGTCAGTGGAGAAAATCAATTATAGCTTAGTAATGGAAGAGGAGCATTTGACAACTAAGAAAATTGTATAAATAATTGTGCAACATTACTTATCTCTGTTTCAAATAGAAACCGTTGTACCATTGGTAAGGGGGTCATAGGTCAGCAACAAGCCTCTTAATTCTCCTTCTTGTATTTATCAAATCAAAGTCAAATCAAATCAAGTTTATTGTTATTTTGCTGTACATACACAGTAGTACAGGCAAGACGAGAGAGCGTTTCTTTAGGATCCCGTAATTTAAAGCAATTTAAATGAAGAAATGTTTGCATATCTTGTTGTTTATATGGCCTCTAGTAAATGCCTTGACACTGCAGCAGATATCTATGTAATAGAACACTGACTTTTGGACCAATAGGCATGTGGTGCAGTTTTTCACATTAATGAAAGGCATTACTTTAAATCCAAAGACATTACTTAAAAAATGTGTGTGTGTTGAACTGATTTAAATCCATTGTTGAAAGCTATTCAGAGACATTTTGCCAGCGCTACTAAAACAGTATCATATGTCATGAACTTAAGTAAGAAGGAAATGAAAATTAAAATAATTATAAGGTATTTGATCAGTTTACTGACGAGTTACGCAGTCCGTCTCACTTCTTATCTTTGTCCAAACACTCACATAGCATTAGGCCTGCTGTGTGTTTGTAGAAAGGTTGGGTTTGTGGGGGTTATTTTAACTGGATCTCTTGGTCATCAGCCAAAGTTATTGTGATCCCAGATTTAATTGATTTCAGCCTCTATGACACAATGATTATGCTTTCCCTTTTACGAAACTTCAAAAGTCTCAGTTAATTTATTTCTTCATTCCTCCCAAGACCAGAAAGAAAGTCCAGCTAAAGAGAGCGGAAATGCAGCCATAAAAATTCAAAACACAGTAATAGCTCTGTCTCTGTTCCAAAGGAATTTCATTTACTTTACATCAAGACTGTGCAGCGAGAGAGAGGGAGCGGGAAAGAGAAAGAAGGCAGTCATAATTTCTCAGGCCTCTAAAATTACCATGTGGCCACGCGGAGATGGAGGCTGATAGATTTTGAGAAATGGAAAGTGAGAGGCATAGGGAAAGAAAAGAAACAAGTAGAAAAGAGAGAGTGATAGTTAGCATTAAGTGTCTGGTCAATGCTCTTTGTCATTCAGGCAGGGATGTTTTTTCGATTTAGCAGCAGGTGGACAGAGAAAAGGATTGCACATAAACAAAATAAATGTGGATTTGCTCCACATTTTTCTTTCTCATCATTCTCTACCTTCTCCTCTCTCTTCTTTCTCCTTTTGTCACACTCTCCCCTCCTCTTTTCTTTGGTCCTTCTCTCCATTGCACGGAGTAGGAGAAGGGGAGGGGGGCTCTTGCTCTGAGCCTTGCTGTTCGCTTGTCCCCAGAGCAGATCATATTAACATTTTATAAAATCAAGATTTCCTGCATTTAAATAGTTGTGGTTTCCCAACTGGTTCCAGTATCTCGGAGGGGAAATTCAAACCTCCTTCCATTACTCAAAGTCAAATTGCTGCCCGTACTGTTTTTACATACAGTAGAAGGGGAGCGATGACATAGTGATGGGGGGGGGCAGCTGAAAAGCGACAGATCCCTGATGGAGCATCCACAGGTTCCCACCTGTAGAGTGCCTAAGTGATGAAGGGATAGGAGGGGAGAGGAAGGTGATTCATTCTCACCTTCTCACCGCCGTGTGGTCCAGTTCTCTGAATCATAAGCAGGTGTTCTTATTGCTCTTTTTCCGTCTCTCCTCTTCGTCTTCCCCCCTTCTTCTGCTTCTCTGTGGGGTTCTGAAGCCTGAGAAACGTGGAGTAAACACAGAGGTTATGACTCAGCCTGACCCCAGCTCAGGGGAGCAGGAGGAGGAGATAGAGTACGTTAGAGAAGAGAGCAAAACTTGAGCTCACACTCAGCATATAGTCAAATAAATGTGGCAGATTCTTTTCTCAAACACAGGCACTTTATCCACCCTAGCTTTTCTCAATATGCAAATGTGTTAATGTCATCATCCATGCGCTGTTTAAGGAAGTTGCCCAGATTGCGCTGACTTTTTCTGACAAACATCGCACCATCTGCTCCCCTGCTGTTGCTTTCGTGCATGGCACTGTGGGATAGCCTTTCATGTCCCAGCAGGGCTCTGCATTGCCATTGTGGCCCTGCTGGCCTGCGAGCGATATCATAAAAGCTCTGTGGCCTGAGATGAACCAGCAACCTTCAGCCATAACCACTTCTGCAGCTGCTGTTTCGGTCATTGTTGTTATTATGAGAAACACAGGTCCACTGTCAGCTTCACAACCATAACGCACCCTTTTTTATTGATGCATGCTTTGTCTCAAATTAGTAGAACTATGCAACCTTTTGTAGGGAGTCAGAATCTGAGGGGAGTCGGTGGGGTATTGCACTTTAATGCAACACATTAAACCAGAAAGAGTAAGGTGGTATTTTTGCCAAGATAACTATTATTTTAGTAGGACATTGCTCAAGTAGACCTGCATTAGTCACAGCTAATGCACTATAAAAATAAAAGACTGTCCATGTAGTTAATTTGATCTGGAGTTTTTACACCTCATCCACTAAAAACTCGGGTCCCCTTTTAAAAGTTTGGCATTACAAAGGAAAAACAAAAAAAGTAAGCATGAGGATCTCAGCATGGGCTTATTCCTGATTTTCCACACTGATTAATGTTAACGTATATTAGCCCACCTGAGACAGCATAGTGGGAGTCATTTTCAGAACAATTTTCATTACATCTCCTGAATAAACATTTGCTCAAGCCGAAGTCAATTCAATTTGTCTGCTGGCTGATAAGAGGTAGCTAGCAGTGGAATTTTTAGACATATAGGCATCAGTAAAATAACAGAAGACCTAATAGCAGTGTTGATATTGTTAATAAAAGTAATGGCAGACACGGCAGTGGATGTCGGCAGCCATAGCCTCAAAGTGAGCTGAGGGAGTCTCCAGTTGCAGAGACATATTTGAAACTTAGCAGTGATCACACCTGGGTTGCTCATGGAAATTGAAATAATTCTATATGTTGTGTATTTGCTTTGGTTTGTCTGCCTTTAGCTAACCTTTTGAGAAATTGTGATTGTTCAATCAGTCCCAGAAAAGTAAGTCCATGCACAATAGTATTCTACAGTTTGGCAGAAACAGAGGTTGGTGACAGGGATGGAAATCAGACCCATATATACACAGTGCTGCCAAGACTTCTAAATGTAAATATATTTATGATTAGTTTTGAATATTTAACTACTTAAAAAGTCCTCAACGTAGCTTTCCAGGCATTTGAACCAACCTCAAAATGGAGCCTTTATTCAGAAATTAAGATAACATTTTAGATAGCCTTTCAGCTGATATTTTGCCAGAGGTCTAGCTGCCAGGCCTACTTTGTCGAGTACTTGAGGAAAACACAGATTGGACCCTTTCAGCCAAGGGAATGTCAGCTATTCAGGGTTACATGTTGTTTATCAGATAAGGTACACACACAATCAGGCAGCAGAAACTGACACTGCCCATGCTATAGCATGGACTCACATGCATACACACACCTGTATATACACATATGTATACATGCATATAATCTTTCATACGGACAATTATACATAGTCTTCCTCTTATGCACATATACAGTACGCAATCTATTTGCCATATACACAGGTGTCTTTTTTTCCCAAAAGCAAGTGCCAGACATCCAACTCAGCATACCAACAAAAAAATAAATTTCACTTTTTTTTTTCCCATCGCCCTACAACATTTTTTGAAATGCTTATCAATTTCATCTCAATGTTCCTCCAAGGCCAGAACCACAAGTTTAAGGGAACATGACGCACATTCAACCATGCAAATGTATTCCACTGTACCGTATATGTACCTCATATATCCATTTCTATATGCCGTCATAAGTATAGAATATCACAGGTATAAAAAGACACGCTCGGTGTTTTAGCAATGCAGTTCTGGGAATTCTCAGTGGAGATTCAGTGAGTTTCCGCTCCAGTGGCTCAGGGTTGGGGTTGCGGGTGCACAACTCTGTCAGGTACAATTATGAGGAGTTGATTCCAGGAAAACCTGTGTGACATTTAATATATGATGTAAGCTGCAGTTACCTCATCCATTCCTCTTTAACAGCACAGCACCACACATGCAAGTATGTGGACGTAAACACATTTATTGAACACAACGCTTCTCACATGCACACACGCACACATGTGCTGACAGTTCCATTAGTTTGGTAATCGTTTTATGGCGCTCCATACCTGCAATAAACAAGTGAATTGTCACAGATATATATGTGCAGTTACTCACCCTCTTACACCACAGACACACACATTCATGTCTTCCTGCCTGGCATTCTTCAGGTGTGCTCCTGAAAGCGCTTTGCCACTACTGATCCATCAGTAGCTGAGTTCTGCAGGTGGTCTAGGGTACCCAAGAATCTGACTTACTTCACACAGGAGCACCAGACACATTTATGTTAATTTTGGCACAATGCGAGAGGAGCGAATGGACCTCTACCAGTCATCACATCAACGATACTCAATGTGAGAACACTCACACAACCTGATTGTTATTCAGTGTGAGAAATGACTCCAGGACTTCAATGCTAATGGCTGACTTGTAGCGAACATTTGCTGGGTGTTTAGTTATGCTGTGGTCATGCAGTGTTGTTATGGAGACGAGCGCCGTCTTGCTGTGTTGGTGGTCTGCGGTCAAAGTGCTGTCGTTTTTTCCGACTAGACAAGAAATTAAAGATCGGTTTTGTCTGAAGTGAGTAAAATTCAAGGTTGTCATCCAGATGCCATAAAAAATCACTTGCTCATTCCCTCTGTAAGGCAGGGATTCCCCATGTCTTGAAAGCGTCAGTAAAATATCAGTGCTTGATGATTAGCAGACCACTGCATTTGTTTAATATTTTATGTTGAACTGGCAGATTCACAAAGCTAAAATAGTACCTGTTGTGCAATATCAAAGCTTTACAGTAATTCTTCAGCAGATGAGTAATCAGGGGTCACACCAAGTTGGTTACAATAATCTGTTATTTGGGGCCTGAACCTTAAGTTCAACTGATGAACAGCTAACCTATGCAATAGCAAAATATCCACCAGTGTCCATCTAAAGTGGACACTAAGTGGGGCATTTAAAACATTCAGGAATATCCTATCATTAATCTATCACTGCCAATAGTTTAAGAAAGAAGTGAATATCACACCTACACTGCAAAAATATACAAAAAGTGATCTTCTGGCATGCTGCTGATGAATATTCAGATTTAATCAGCAGCAGCAATAGCCATTTAAGTTAGTGTTCTTTCAGTAGTTGGAGAGCTGAGTGTAACGCTATAAGGAAACCCAGAGGGTTTCAAAAAAGCACATTGGTTACGCACTGCCTTTGGGTCCTCATGATGTCATTGTGAAAGGAATTTCCTCACTGTGTCTCTAAGCTCTCGACAATATGTGATCGGTGTGATTTGTGTTCAATGGTTGTCAGCAGATTCTAGCTGCCTGTATAGGAAAAAAATGGAAGGAAGACTGATGATACATCCTCATGCTCGAGTGAATGCACGCTCTACATGTACTATGAATAGTGGAGTTTAATCCCAATTGATTAGTGAGCAAAGATGTGCGCTTTTTCACACTGAATCTAGGTGAGAGAGAGCAGACTTTGTTTGATCTGCAAATATTTAATGAGTTTTTGCACCAGTTTTTGTTTTGCCTCACATTCTTTGTGTGGAAGCAAGATGACGTGCTATCCTGTTTGGCATTGTCTGTCATTTCTGCTATGTTTGCACACAGCTAAATCAAATGAAAATATATTTTCATCTGATTTATTTTTTGTAAATCCTAATCTTTATTAAGGGCTTCATGTTTTTGTACATGTAGTTCTCAGAGTGCAAGAAGGCCTTTTAAGTATGTTAATCCAAACAAAGGAAATTAGCCACAGAGAGTGAAAAGAGACTAACTGCTATGTGAAGCTGCTAGTCTAAAGATGAAAAGTCAGCATGTGTAACAAATCCACTGAAGATACACAACTGAAGATTAAAAGCTAGTTTTTACCATGTCTTTGCTTTCAGATACCATGCAGTCTAGAATACTGGGACGATCTCCAGCAGGCCTTTGTTCCATACCGGGAGTTCAGCCTGTCAGAAAGCAGCGCCTGCCAGCTGCAGCTGCCCAGCCTCAGCCTCACCAACCAGCAGAAGGAGCTGGTAGCTTCAGACCTGTGGAGGATCGTACTCAATAATAACGGAGAGGGAGGAGATGAACAGAGGTGAAGGAAAACTCATGTATTTTAATTTGAACTGTTTCCTTGTGCCTGTAGGTATCTGTAGGTGTTGTCTCAGTGTCTGTGCTCCCAAACTCCTATTTCAGACAGCATGTTTATGCCTACAGCAGGTATGTGTGTGGATCTACAGACTGTGGGTCGTCTTGTGTGAGGAAAAACAGAGAAAGAGTGCACCCAGGCCGCTGAGCACAAAGAGCTAGAATGTGTCCCTCGCCCCACATCTGGTGTGCAGGAGCAGGGAGCGGGCTTGGAAGGCGTTCAGATCGGCCTAATGAGATTTCCCAGCACACCAAGTGCCTGTCAGGGCCCATCCGGATTCCTTCCTGCTTACCTTGAGTGTATCTAATCGAGGGGAAGCTCACGGGAAGCAAGAGGAGTCAAGCCCCCTTTGGGTTGGCTCATGAGTTCTTAGGCCTGGCCTGGCCTGGGCTGGGCAGGGTTGAGCTAGGATGGGATGGGTTGGACTGGGTCTGCAAAACACTGTAACACTTCAAAGAGCAAGCTTTTACTCCCTTCTTCTCGCTACCACTGCTTCCTCTCTTTGTTTCTCTCGTGTCTCATCCAGCATTGTGTTACATCTTCAGGGCTTCACCCACTTTTCTTTCGGTCTTTTCTCATTCCTTTCTCATCTTACTTTATTCTCTTTTTTCTCTTTCTCTCTCTCTTTACTTCCTTTTGGGATTTGGGGAACTTTTAGTGGAAGAAAATTGCCAAGCCCACATTCTGTGTGGCTTACAGAGCTCCAGAAAAGCAGAAAGGGAGGAATAAGAAAACATGTAAGAGAGCAACAGAGGAAAAAAAAAACTCTTCAGCACCAGATACAGTGTAAAGCAAAATATACATCTGCATTTCATTACAATCATACTCCAAACACTACATTTCCTTTATGTTTAAATTATTTGTCTTTTTTGATCAAAATTGATTCCCCTTTCCTTACTCACTCGTTTCATCTGCCTTACTTTAGTTTCCACCAGAAAAATAACTTGGCTGCCCTGCCAACTGGAAGTAATGAAAATTGTCAACATATGATGCTTATCTTTTTAAGGAGCTCTCTGCTGCACCAGCGTTTTTCAGGTCTTGAGCGTTTCCTGCTGGAGTTTTTATGGTGGATCATGGTAGCAGCAAATTACAGAGCAAATGGTCATTCACTTCAATTACCTTCCATTCAACATCATCAGCCATGACATGCAATTAATGTCCACGGAGGGGTTCTCCTGGAAACTGCGAGCATAATAATGTACCTAACAGCCTCGGACAGCGAGGAGGCCCTTTCCACATTGTTGTCTCTTTTCATTCCTTTTTTCTCAATAATTGTAGTGTCTGTCTCCCTGTTGATTTCTGAGGATGTCACACAATATGTAGCAGACACAAGAATTCAACTAGAAGCAAGAATCAGGCTATTTTAATTAGTGAATAAAATTTTTCAGGCTTGATTCTATAGCTGTGCCAATTTCTTTTATATTATGAACAATGTTTGGGGAAGTGCTAAATCACCATTGAACAGGATATTTTTTTCTCCAATATTATGTCCATATAAAATGATTTCAAATTTACAGGGCACCTTGAGTTTATATTTTTCTTTATTATTTTGCAGTTTTAGGGTGTTTCACACGCTTCTGTAAATATTTGTTTGTATCTCCTCTTCCCCTGCAGTTCGGATAGTGAATGTGGGTCCCAGCTACCCTGTGATCAGTTGGTTTCTCCGATGGCATTGGCAGCCTGTGCCCGTGTGGATTCCTGCTTTGCACCGTGGTTTGTCCCCTCCCTGGGTGTGTCCCTACAACTAGCACAGCTGGAAGTTCACCTCTGCCACCACCTAGAACAGCTGGGTACAGGTAGAGTACAGTATACATCATCACAAAGCCTCTTCTAAGTTTGCAGAGTCTTTTGTTTATTAAAAGGCGATTCGAGAAATTTTTTTTAAATTTTCTTTCTATTGTGTTAGTTGTGGAAAAATGACTGTCTTGTTCTTATGTTTTTTGGTGGATCGTGGTAACAGTGAATTACACAGCAAATTCAATTGAATTATTGCACAATCAGTCATTTTCAACTTCCTTACAATAATTACCCTCGAACTACCATTAACAATAGTCTATAATAGTCATCTGTTTGATTTTCTGAGTCTAGCTATGACTTTAAAGACCCCCTCCAAGGAAAATAAGTCTGGTTTTTTTTTGTTTTTTTTTTTTAACCTTGTTGACATATCCATTTGGTGTTTTTATATGTAGGATGCACACTATGAGTAAAGGAAGCCATGGCTGAGCATGCAGTGTACCTATGATGTTCTCGAAAACACGTTTTAAACCCTTTTTGTTAAACAACTATACAGACATGCAGTACTTTTTGGTTTCATGTATTCATGGTTGTTGTTTTTCCTGTAATTTGTTTGTGTGCTTCAGTGATTTGTATTGTGTTGGCTTAGTCCCATGAGGACCCTTCCAGATGCCAATTATTCCTTTTTTGTTACAATAACTGCATGTCTGTCTGTTTTTGACAATCAGTTGTACATTTTTATAGTCATTGTATATTTAAGTAAAAATAATATTTCTCACTCCCTCAGTTCCATCTCGACATCTTCATCCCTTCCTGCCAGACAGGAAGTTACCTCAGGAGCAGGAGTTCATGTTGATAGGTGCCCGGGAGCCACGGGTCTTCTTACGCCAGTGGAGCAACGGACCACGTCACTGTCAGGAGTTCAACTTTTCCACCCAGATAGACTGCAAGCTGCTGGAGTACCGAAATCTAACACACGTTCAGCTTCTTCAGTCTTGTGTACTACAGGTAGAGCTTAGCTATTTATTTGGTATTGATCAGGAAATATGAGGACAAATAAATTTAGAATTTCATTGTGTGGGTTTCAGGGCCAGGCTGCAGCCACCTGCTGTCCCCAGAACACCTCTTTGGATGTGAATGTGTTTGTGGACCCAGTGTTCCTGAATATCAGCCAGTATGCCATCCACACTATGGACACTGCTCTACAAAGCTGGCAACAGGTGAGAGAAAGTTTAACTTTAAATACTGCAACACTCATATATTCCACAAAAGCACAATCTGCTCTATTACCTTTAAAATAAAGGAAAAAATAAACCTTGTTGTTTATGATAGATTATAGATATTGGTTTTGGTGCTTTGGAGTAATTTAGTATGGGGTCCAGAGGTTGATTTTTTCGCCTTGTATTTTTTTACTGAAGTCTAATTTTTAGAAGAAAAAAAATAGATGTTTTCTCACAACAATTCACAGCTGCATGAGAAAGTGCATTAGAAGTGACTAAAGAATATGTTGCAAAGTATTAGAGGATGATTTGTTCCCCTGTGTATATATACACTACTCACAATAAGTTAGGGATATTGTGAGAGACTCAGTGGATTTCATACATACAGTCTTTGTTTCACTTCAGAGATTTCTGGGACGGGGAGGCTGTTGTATTGGGGTGATAGACACACCTCATTTTGTGTTTTCCATGTAATGGTCTCACTGTGTACAGTGTGCCTTACATATTGGGGCCAATACCAAAAAACTAAAAGACAACCCTTTTCAATGTGGCACCAATTTCAACATTCTGTGGGTATAAAAAGCTGGTATTGTCAGTAAGTCATTTCAAGTTCATCGTTCAAAAAGCCATGAACACACGGCGTCACTTAACGGATGAGCAGCGCCACCTGGGGATAGCACGCCTTCGAGTCGGTGGCAGGCAGTCTGATGTTGCTCGTGAACTTGGTGTGTCTCAGAGTGTCATCAGCAGACTTTTATCAAGACGCAGAACTACTGGTACAGTTCATGACAGACCCAGAAGTGGGGCCCCAAGAGTGACCGACCGCAACGATGACCAGTACCTCAGGACCTATGCACTCAGACATCGCTATGCAAGTGCCACAGAGCTGCAGGCCCGTTTACGAGATGTGAGGGGTACTAGGGTTTCCAGACAAACCATTCGCAACCGACTCCACCGCTTTGGCTTGAATGCCAGACGACCGTTGCAGGTGACTCCACTGACACCAAGACACCGCCGTGTACGTTTGCAGTGGGCACAAGACCATGTGACCTGGACAATGCAGCAGTGGTCTACCGTCCTGTTCACTGATGAGTGTCAAGTCACCTTGCACAGAAATGATGGTCATCAGCGTTGCTGGAGAAGGCGAGGTGAGCGATATGCCGAGGTTGACATGGTCCCCAGGGTTCGCTTTGGTGGAGGAGGTGCAACAGTCTGGGCAGGCATCACCAGCCAGCGCAAAACAGATTTGGTTTTTGTAGATGGCTCAGTCACTGCACGTTCCTACCTCAGAGACATCATAGAACCCATCATCATCCCCCAATTCCGCCAGCACACCCCCAACTTTCTGTTCATGGATGACAATGCTCCACCACATCGTGCCAGAATTGTCACAACTCGACTTCAGGAAGTCGGAGTGCCTCATATGGTATGGCCAGCAATCCCCCCTGACCTGAACCCCATACAGCACGTCTGGGACCAGCTGAAGCAGAGACTGGATGACCGTACTCCACCCCCACCCTGCCACCTGGCAGAACTGCGTGTAGCACTTGTGGAAGAGTGGAACGCATTGCCTCAGAACAACATCATGAGGCTAGTGAGGAGCATGAGACGTCGTTGTCAAGCTGTCATTCCTCAAATGGTGGAAACACCCGCTACTGACATTGTCAATTTTTGTTATTTGGGGCTATCCTTGTTATTGTTTAAATTTGGGGGGTAATAAATGTTAAACTAATGAAAATGGTGTTTCTTCTCATTCATTCTTTGTAATATCAAAGGGAACTTTTATTTATTTCATTAAAATTCAAACCAAATAGGAAAAGCACTCATGTAAATAACAATATCCCTAACTTATTGTGAGTAGTGTATATGAACATATATATAGCAGGATGCCTTCAGACATAACAGGGGATTTTTTCCTGATGTTTGATCTCTTAACACTTGAATGTAGCTATTTTATTTGGCGCCAGGGGCCAGTCAATCTGTAGAGGAAATCCTAAGAAAATGTATGTACATTTTGAGAATATGCTGAAAGACTGCCTTTTGTCCCAGATGGAGTATCAGTTAAACAAACTAACAACAAAGTGGATTTCATGAGAATGGTTTTGGTTGTATGCCAGTGGTAATAAAATTTGCAGGATGGAACTGCCTTTCTGTTTGGTATGAACTCTAAGAGGATACGGTGTGTCTGTTCTTGGGCTTCTAGTGCTATGGTCCTCGTCATCTCTCAGTTCTCAGCACTGCCTCTGGTAGCCAGGATATTTGTGTGTGAAGTGATGCCCATTAAAACATGGTAAAACTTGAGTGGTGACACCTGCCAAGACTTCATCTGGCTGTAGTCCCCCACCCACTTGTCTATTCCACACGCACACAGGCTCACACACACACACACACTGGCCTCTCTGGCTTCATATGCCCTATCATGGCTCTGCTCAGCTCAGCTCAGCTCAGCTGTGCTGACTCATATACTGGCCTCAGGAGACATGAGGTACGCTCATGGTTTTACATGCATGCAGAAACTCACTGCCAGGTGAAAGAAATAATAGCTGATGTTTTTCTAGGAACAGCTGTGGACTTTTACCTGTAGGAAATAAATTCAAACAAACTGTATAGAAAAAAAACAGTATGAAATGATTGTTCTGGCTGGCAGTTTATTACCTTTGTTTTCACTCAGTGGCATCACTGACTCATCAAAAGCTCTTAACCGACCGTGTTGGATGATTGGTCATATTTGACCCTTGGCCTAATCATTGCATCATTTAGCACAAGCTGGTCAATGTTCCCTATTTCTGCTGCTTATTTTAGTCATAAATTTGCTTTTTACTTTAGAGCGTTGGTGGTGTTATAGCAAAAGGTCACGGTGCAGCTTTACTGGAGTGTTTTGGACATGTTGGTATCCATGGTGGACTTTACCCAATATGCCAAGTGTGATTATTTAGGTTATTAGTCGGTTGTATGCTCTCAGGCGCACGTCTTTTGATATTGACTGAGTGATATGTTTGGCTTTTTGAATGCTGTCTTGGCTCAGTTACTCCAAACAGAGACAAACAATGGTAGGTCACACAAGCTGCAAGCTGCAACTACATGTTCTTTGGTATGGTACTGATTCCTAAAATGATTAAGCCTGCTTTATTGTCTTGATTGGTCTAAACAGCAGCAGCCTTGTAACTTGTACAGAACCTTTTAACTACCTCCAGCCTTCACCACTTTGCTGAACACAAGGGGAAAAACACACGATAATTATAAGGCAAATGTGCTGCATGTGGCTTTGGTAGTTCTGAAGTAAGGGGTAGAGAGAGGTCAAGTACAAAAAGCAGATTCTTTAAAAAAGTGCTCGTCCACTTCAGAGGAAATGAACACTTCGATTTTGGAACATTGTTTCCCTTTTGGGGTTTTCACTGAAGCAAAATCTTGTACATGGTGAGAAAACCTTGTATGGGTACAATTAAGCACAAGCTGTCTGGTGGCATGATACGCTATAGGGACAGATATAAGGCCGCCTATTTAGGCTAACCTTTGATCTGATGAAGCTTACATTCCAGACAAACTCATGCACACATTGTCCATTCATAAAAAAATAAAAAAAGGTAATCAGGCATAGTCAGAAATGTTAACAGGCCCTGTCCTTCTGCAACAGAAGGATGTATCCTAACGTGTGTAATTGTTTCAGTGATTTTCATGTTTCCTGGTGTCAAGGCTGGCAGACAGGCCTGTTGTGATGTGGCCCGCAGGGTCACCGTTGAAACGTAGAGAAGATTCCTCAACTACCACACAACTGAAACCTCAACACCCAGGCCTGGTCACAACAGACCGCCACAACCAGAGCAACTGGAGCACTTCCAGATGCATAGTAATAAATAGAACGAAAAGACACTTCTTGGTACAGTATATGGTTGTAATTTACAGTCATATAGCAATCATCAGTAATAATCGGCAGTTCTAGTCTTAGAAAATGGGCTGCTGTTGTTTTTGCAATAATCTTTTTGCCATTAGCAAATGCACACACCTAATAACTTCTCATTAAGTGTTCTGTCTATTCTAATGTACAGCATGTCCCCAAGGAAGCAGGCTCACTTCCTTCTCTTCCTCATCTCTTTGCTTTACCTAGAACTTTCAATTAAGTCCTCACAAACTTTTGATATAGTATAAAAGAGATAAGCGATAGTATAAAACTGAGGTGTTTTGCATTTTTTAGCTGAGTTCCAAAGGTGAAGGAAAAATGAATATAGAATGCTGTTCTTTTTATTTCTTCCTCTTTTGACTCTTGCACTCAATAGCCCCATATGGCCCCAACCTCAAGATCCCACCGCTCTAACCTCAGGCCCCATGCCTCCATTTTCAATTGTCGGTCCCCAGCCCCACTCTCAGTCTTTGCTCCCCCAGCTTTTAACCCCAGGGAAGTGGCTTTGGTGGAAAGCCACACAAAAGCCCAGTAGTATTTACACACTCTGCTTTCTCACAGAACGTTCACAGGCTGTTACATGTGCAATTGAGACAACAGGAATTTTTCTCCTGTTGTTTTTTTTTTTTCTTCTGTTCTTCTCATCTTTGAATGATTCTCTGCTTTACTTTGCAACCGGAAAGAATGCGATACAGAGATCATTTTCCTTGTTGTAGTTAGATGGTTGGACTTGGCCATGTGCAGAAGAATATATTGGTGTTTTTAGATCTGATTAGAGTTTCATTACATCCCTTTTATAGGTTTCACTATCAGCTCCATAGTGTCTTGTTTCATGTGTGTTTTTCTTGAGTGGGTGTCAATATTTACAGTCTCTTTTCCAGACATTTTATTGTACCTTGTCATTTATATGTGTGCCATTGTACCATGCAGATCTGGGTGAGACTCTATGAAAACTAAAGTAATTGTATCTGGGTGGATTAGGGAAAGGGATACTTTGATGCCTAGTGGGCCTGTCTGAAGAAGAAGTTGTCATCTTGTGCTCTTTAACAAGATATATGTGTTGACTGTTTAAATATCTTTGTCTTAATGTTTGTCCACCTAAAATCCCTAGATAGACAGAGAGCGACTATGATTACCGAAGAAAGCTTTTCTGATGTGTATATCGCGTTGCCTTGTGAATCGTAGCAGAAAGATGATACCATCAAAGAATGGGCTTAGCAATGGCATCTTAAGATGGCAGCAGGAAGTTTGTAAATCGCAGTGTCAGATTCGAAAGGGAGCACAGATAGTGTTCCACTATAAAACTGGAAATGGATTTGAACCCACTGCCACAGCTGTCCCATCTATATTTTGCTCTCTCTACCTCTCTCTCACACACACATCTATCATCAAGTGTTCTTTTAATGGTGTAAACTTTCCCATCCGTTTTCAATAGCATCAACAACCCCAGGACCCTGAACGTGCTTGGCAGTCAGACTCTAAGCTTTTACTGCCAGCCTCTTTTAACCATCAACCATCACCCCCCCCTGCCATTTAAAAGTACACAGCAGGCTGGGGTCCCTCTTTGTAGGGATAGTTGAGTAGTTATTGAGAAGCTGTCTGAACTACAGTCATGTGCGTCAAGAGTCAAGGAGGGGTGTGCAGGAGAGATCACATAAGGGCCTAAGAGCCTTTGGAAGGAGCTCAAGTAAAACTTGCACTTGCACCCATGCACTCACTATCCAAGTCACATGCACATGTGCTGTTCTGAAATTGTGTACTTGAATTCCTGAATGCAAGAGATTTGACACACTTAACTCTCTTTCTGTTAAACCAGTGTTTTCAATAGCAAGCCAGTGAGCTCTCCTCGCTTGCATGCAAGGTGACGTATGAGCAGACAACATCCCTGTATAACTTGCACGATTTTCTGTGAGGCTTTCTCATTGAGCCAATACTGTAGGTGGGCCAAATTCCACCATATTGTTTTCTCCTAAAAAAAAAAAAAAACACAACATTTTGATGACATTTACTAACAGGAATGCCGACTCAGTGGCCCACTTTTTTCACAAAATTGAGAAGATGTCAGAAAAAGCCATGCACAAAAACCCTGAGTTATTTTTTGGACAAGCTGAAATTGCAAAGTCTGTTTATCTCCTCAACAACCCACATTTAGCTGCTCCAAAAAAGGATCTGAAAAAAATTTAACATTGCTAAAGAAACAGGCCACCTGGAGATTTTATGTGGGGCCAGAGGAGTAGATTTGGCCCTAAAGACCACTCTAAGTTGGTCCAACCTGAATAGCTGTCAGGCTATGACATGATCCACTCCCTGTTGAGGTTGTGTTGCTCCCACAGATAATACCACTCATACCATTCTCCTGCTGGTTGACATCTGCACCAAGATCTGCTCTTTTAAGACTGAGGATACATACATTGTTGACACCTGCATATGTGCTTATACATACACTACACATGTACTGTACATTGTCCACCCACCATAAATACACATACTTGGAAGTTTTTGCTTATTTTTTATTCTCAAACTCTCTTTCTTATGTCACCCCTGTTCCTTCTCCCATCTACCCATACCTCCTGGTTCTTCCCCTCTTCTCCCTGTTTTCTCTCAGAATGGGAACCCAGAGGCAGAGGAGCTATTGTATAGCCACTATGTCATCTGTAATGACACACATGAGACACTGCGCTTTGGCCAGGTGGACACGGATGAAAACGTGCTGCTGGCAAGCCTGCACAGCCACCAGTACAGCTGGAGATCCCACAAGTCCCCTCAGGTAGCACGCGCACACACACACACACACACACCTACACACACCTACACACACACACACACACACACACACACACACACACATATATACACTGTCCAAGGCCTGGGAGATATCTGGTGGCCCACAGCCTTGGTTTTGGTTGGATTTGAATAGAAACACGCACATCCAGAAGCATTGACACACATGGTATACAGAATAGAGTGGTAGCATGCAGTACATACACAGAAACATAATGCAAAGATTGTGCCTCAGTAAACTTGGGCACACACACTTTGGATCATATACACCTGAATACACATGTGAATACACACATGCAGTACATGTGTGGAAAAACAATGGCTTACACACACAAATTCATATTCATTGACTGAGGCATAAAAGTTCTGTCCACAGGCTCACAGAGGTGTATACACACACACGCACACACACACACACACACACACACCCCGTCATCAGTGCGCAGCCACTATCTGTGTGTTTCTGTCAGCATTCTCAGACAGTGCCCTGACAGCATTGTTAAAGAAGATTGATTATATTTAACCCTTTGTGGTTTTGAGGTTGAGTAGAGGGTGGGCTGGCGATCTGTGGCATATGTGTGTGTGTTTGGTGCGCACATGTTTCAGGACCCCCATGTGTTCCATGGCGAGTGTGAGAAAGTCAAGCTTGAGAAAAGACATGGCCATAATTGCTCGCAGTAAGTCAGTAAGTCAAGTTGTATTAATCATCGACCATGGTTAATCTGTGCTCTTACCTCACTCTCGCCTGCACACACACACACACACACACACACACACACACTTTGTGAGTGGCAATCTGGCATATCGGCAAAGTGAACCTCACATCTCATTTTAGCAGTGAGTCAAAATGACCTGTATTTTCAAGGATATTTTGGATGAAAGATTGTCCGAGTGGGCCAAATATCATCATAGATGAAGAATGTGATTCCAAGATGGTTCTGTCATGTGTTATTCCTTCATGTGTTTGTGGTATATGAAATATGTGTTCTCAAGATGAACATGATTTGTGAAACTAGATAAATAAGAAATAGTCCAGCTTTGCCAAAAACACTCAGCTAACTTTGAGCTTGATGATAAAAAGCCTGCCAATGTGTCCTCCTCAGCAAATTGTAGCAAACACTCCTAATTACATTTTGGGGTTATAAAAATAGTGACACTGATAAGAAAAAGGGTTGTATTTCTTTAACGGTTACTTGGTCCTGCAAGTGTGTTTTTGTAGCTCTTGCAAATCAGTTTCCAGGCGGAGTCATAAGTGGTTGTGCTGTTTTGCTTAAGTCCCATGATGCCGTGGAGTGTCTAAAACAACTCTGATCATCACAAGCCATCATTCCTCAGGCCCCCCTACTCTTTCTTGTAAGCGTTCCTTTTTCTATCTGCTCTCCACATGTAGCCCCCTGACGTCTCTCCTGTTTCAGATGTATTTCTAACCTCACCTCCTATTCTGTACTTAACATTTGACTTTTTCAGGTTCCATTTGTACTGTAATTGTATAAGTATATTTATTTTATAGCAAAACTTCAGAGCTATCATTTATTAACCCCCAAGTCATTTGCATATCATATGCAACAACAACTAGCTGGGATTAAAAGACTACATATATACTTGAATGTAAATTAAAGTGACAAAAATGTACATTATGCTTAACCGGCAATTACATTATATAACAGTCACCAGGAGTTTATCCTCCCTTGTTTCTTTTTTAGGCCTGTATATGGGGGGCCAGTCAATCTTTGTTTGTGTCACCCATGCCTCTGCCTATTATCCAAATCCCAGGTTTTAGTACATGACCACTTTTTTTTATTTTTTTTTTTTTATTAGGAAATACTGGTTCAGAGTTCCTTCAAACAGGGCTGGCCATCGTTCTTGTTTAAATGATGGACCTCAACCTACTGATGACATTTGTGTCAGGTCAGCTGTCTGTTCTGTCCTCACACTGATTCAGCCAGAAGACCTGTGCTTTCTTCCATTGTGCGGTTGTCTGGGTTCCATTTAGAGCCATAGCCAAGTCTTGTTCCCATCCACTTTTTTTTTACATGCTTTCATCCCCTCCCCATCCCCCAATGCTCTAACCTTTCCAAGTACATCAGTAAACACTTTTTAGCTTGGGACCCACAATGCAATTAGCTCACTCATACTGGGAATACTCTAATGCTATGCATAGTATTCTGTGTCTTTTCTTGCCATGCACTGTAGGGACCCACCAGACACAGGCCAAACCCCATTTCAGGCCTCACACCCTAAGCCATAGGTTAGCAAACATAGCAGTACAACGTCCCCTTGATGTCGACTCAGTCCAGGTCTCTTTTTATTCGTGATGCTTCAACTCCATCAGCTCGATGAGATCAGTAGACCTGGACAGTCTCTGGCCTCCATACTGTTTCGGGGTCTCCTTTGGACATTTGTGCCTTTCTCTTAAGACTCTCCAACAACAGCACACAGCTTCCCAGCATTGTCCTTGTCCCTTTCTCAGTCCCCTGAGGCACAATCCTCTGTTCTTGTGGTTACAACCATGGTGGCTGAGTTCATTAGCTCTGCCCTGGCATTGGCCTCTACCTACATATCCTGTGCTGTCTTGGACTCGGACTAAAAGGCATCTTTGTCCTTTTAATCTCCATCACACCCCAGTAAGTGCTGTCCTCACTTTTGGGATCATGGCCTTGGATTACCCCTGAAGTCTTTTTCCACATCTGGCCTAGTCAGTTTTTTGGCCTTCAAGTCCCTTCTCTTTGTGTGTTACACAGCTGCCTTTGTGTACCTTCTACCTTCCTTACATTATCCATGGTCACATTGCTCTGTCAGCACCTCTGGTTTGACTCTGTTCCCTCTCCTGACTATCCTGACTATATACATAGCTCTCCCAACCCTAATTTTATTCTCCCATGCCTCTTTAAACCCAAACTACTATTATTGCCATTACTTTCCCCAGGGTTCATTTATCTCTACCTCCCAGCATTGCCTCTTTGCCCAACATTTACCCCACACCCCTCCCCCACACCCCACCCCCCCAAACACACACACACACACACACACACACACACACATACACACATATTAAAGTAATGTCTCCTCGCCCCTGGTGTTCATGGCCAATCTTGTCTTGTGTGGGAGGCCTGGGGCCTGTCGAGAAGGCAGGCCATCAGCCTGTCCTCATGGTTCTGGTATGATGTGCGTGTCCCAGCTGACCTGTCTCCCAGGCAGTCACATACACACACACAAGCCAGAGCTACTAATTTGCTGTTGTAAAGTAATCTATCCCTGTTTCTCTCTTGAGCTCCCCTGAGAACTCACTGGACATGAGATCATCTTGAAGAGAGGCGGATGAGTAGAGAAAGAGAGATTGTGGAAGTGGAGAAGGATATATGGGGGAAGAATGGACAGAGGAACATGAGAAATTCAAAATGAGGGTAGCACAGAGTTGCCAAGGAAGATACTGTACAGCCCTACTTGAGAAAAACAAGAGGATATGGAAAAAAGGAAGCAGGGGTAAAAGATGAGCCATTCTCTTAGCACTTACAGATTGGCTTAGAGAATTCTACAGTGGCAGCACAGCCAAAAATGTGTCTGCTTACTATCTTTTCTGTTCCTCCCACCTTCGCCATTTCTCATTTGCTTGTGCATCTGTTTGTGATGCAACAAACAGCCCATCAATGAAGTGTAGATAAGTAGCTTGCTACACCTTAAGTCCTTTACTTCTTTGCCCAGTTCATAAACACTGAATGAGTCAGACGAAAGAAAAAGACTAATAGGCAAGCTGTTGTTTCAGCTTGAACTAAAGCTGGGAGGCATATTTTAAGTCCTGCAATCTCCTGTGTGTGTCTTTGTGTGTCAGTGTGTGAAAGAAGAGTGCTTAATGTGTACAATCCTGAGCCATCTAACCACTGTACACTTCCCATGATGTTGACATACCTTTGAATGTCTGTCACTTCTCTCAGAAGAACATTCAAGCGGTGTGTTTTCGCAGTGAAACATGAACCTCAGCTCAGGTCACACTCCCTCTCACTGCTCCTCTGTTTCTCTTCCTTCCACCTTCTCCACCACTCTGTTTCTGCTGTCAGTCATAACCATGAGAAGCAGTGAAAGGGTTGATTGAGGCAGTCACGTCCTTAGCCTGCTGTCGTCTCACACTTGAGCAAACTCATACCCCTGTGTGCACACTGGGACCTACACATACACAGTGTGATAAAATGTTTCCTAAGGCCTGGAGTCTGTCAGGCCTCTTGGTCTAGTCTGTCTCTTTCAGGCTCAGCATGCCTTCACACCTCAGCATTTACCAGCCAATGTGAAAATGTTAATAAGCATAATCATGTTATATTACGTTTTTAAAAAGAGAGCAATAGATGGAAATGGAGGAATAAATACAGATAGATTGATACGTCTGTTAAGAAAACATCAGGATGATCTTGCATATAACTACACACGCTCTGTAATTACGTACAGTTTATATCTCACGCAAACACACTCACCGTCCCCACCCTGCTGTTTTTCAGGGCTCTGGCGTGTGGTGTGGTGTGGATGGTTGAAATATCTCGCTCCTCGGTACAGGATGCAGCCTGGCTGATGGAAATCCCTGTGGTTAGTGTGGTTAGCAGGGAGAGGGGCGTAAAAAGCCCCCTGGATTTGGGAAGGACTTTTTAAGTGCCTACAAGGAATATTCCCAATTTGAATAAATTTACTCCAGCAGCAGGCTTCCACAGTAGAGTTTTACCCTCTCTCTTCCCGAATGTGTGTCTTTGCATGTTAGTGCATTTGTCTGTGTGTGTGTGTGTATTTGGTATTGGGCCATGTGTTTATGTGTGAGAGTCAGCGTTGTGTTGGTGTGCGTGTGTGTGGTTCCCAGGGGTAATGTGCTGGAGATAGCAGCCCCAGACTATTAGTTTGCGGTTAGATTGGCCATGTTGTTGGAAGCAGGCATGACAGGGCGGTATTTGGTATGAGAGTGTGTGAGAGAGAGACAGAAGAGAGTAAAGGAACATTCTTACATCAGTG